AATGTGAGTGTCCCTTCACTCACTTTTGGCTGCTTCGGATTCTTGTATGTGAGGCGACAGGTAGCTATGAACTCTCTCACAAGCTTAGGGTACACGTGATGCTCCAATCTCCACAATCTCCCCATGTCAAGCGTCTTGAACATAGTTGCAACATCATCAATAAATCCAAGCATAGTAAGCGTGTGCTGGCAAGCAACTCGTGTTGGCAAGACGTGAATTGGGTGTCATATTTATCCCATACACCCGTGACAGGATGTTTGTTAGGATCTTCTTGCGGTGCAGCTTTGGAAGTACTCGTGCGTTGCTTAAAAGTTCTTGCAGCGTCGTTCGTTCATCCCATACTTTTCAAAAAATACAAAGTGGAGTCAAAAAATCACTCGATCCGTGTTTTGTTCGTGGTCGATTCGGTTCCGTGCGTTTCGAATCAAGTTGTTTTGGTTTAATCCAATTTCCGGTTAAGAGAAAAACGAAGAAGGGATCGGTTTACCTGGGATCGATCGATCCAGCCTGGGATCCGGCCTACCTCTGGAGTAGAGAACATCATTGTTTGGTATCTATTAATTTGGAAAATAACAATTTCGTATAAAGGGGATTGATATTCAATTTTGAGTACTGAACCGGTAATTTTAGCATCCCCTTATTATTAAAAGGGAAGTACAAATTGAAAAATGGTCTAATTTGGCCTCAATTTCAATTTCAATTTGGATTTTGTTATTTGTTGATCAAAATCGTCAAGGGTAATTTGGTCATTAAATCTTATTAAACGATTAGGGGATCCGCGTGTTTCTAATCGGGTGGTTAGTGGATCAAATATTGCCTAATACATAAAACGAATCACTAATCGGGTTTAACAACTTCAAAAAACAATTATTCGATCCTAACCATTCAACATATATGGTATCTAATTAAAGGCATATTCGAATTACATTGTAAGATATTCTCTATATTTCGCCTAATTGCTAACTAAATTTCTTAAATATTTGATCTAATATAATCCTAACCATAAACTACACAACACAATATCTTTATTTTCCCTAAAATCGTGTATCATTCATTTTGATGTCCATCAAGAAGATATGATAGTTAACGTATCCAATATTTTGTGCTTCTTCTACAAGATTTTCGAAACTTTTAAAGCCAAAAACCCTAACATTCTACTTCACTGTAAATATCAAACGTCTTTCTTATTTCTTGCAAGCACATTGCAGACAAAATATTGCAGACAGGTGATCGGCAAAAAAAGGAAAATCGATTCAAGAGGAGATGAAGAAGAACTCCCCGTCGAGAAATCGAGAAAGCTCAACTCATGGAGAATAAGAGCAAAAGGGAGATGGGATACAGAGATTGTGCACAAACTCATCTGCAGGAACAAGAAAGTCAAGGCTCAGTTAAGATCAAGCATAATCGGAGCAAAATCAAAATCGGAATCAAAACAAAGAGTGACGATTCCGAAGCAAATTGAAAAGCTTGTGAAGAATGAAGCGTTGAGGGAGAAAGCGAACTCACCAGTGAGTTGTGCCAATCTCGCAAAAGGGATTTGCATAGTGAGGAGGCGAATCACCAGAAGAAGAACAAAGAGCAAGGGAATCAAATCCCTAAATCAAAATTTGGGGATAAAGCAAATGAATCAAGAGGGAGTGTTGGATGTTGATTCATAACTTAATCCTACATAAGAGAAAAGACAAAGAGAAGTGTGAGAAGATGAAGATGAAGATGATGATTAAAGGAGAAGAATCGTAAGAAGCATAAGGTGAAGAGAAGAACAAGTGTTTTGTCGTAGAAGGAGGAGGAAGAAGAAGAAAGAAGAAAAGTCCATTGGGCCATATAAGTAATTAGGGCCCATATGTGTTAATGGGTTTCGTTTATTAAGAAGAGTATTAGGTTATATGGTTGTAAGAGAACATTATCTAAGTGATTAACAATATAGTCTTTGGAGGATATCTGAGATCTAAACATTCTCTTCTCTCTACTTAACAAAAATCAAAACGTTTTTGATTCAGTTAACTGTAAAAAACATATAACACTTTTATAAAATTATAAATTATACATTATTTAATATATAATATGAAAACCAAAAATCGATACCCGCGATGTACCGCGGGTTGAATAAAAAAATTGAATATATTAGAAATTTGATATATCCATAATCAAAAAGTTTATACGATATTAAATTTTGATACAGATATATAAAATAATACACATGTTTAACCACATTAAAACCTCTTCTCCTAATTAAAAATTTAACAACAAACAAAACAAAAAAAACATATTTTATAAATTGTGTATATAGAACATTATCAAATACTTTTAAACCAAAAAAAAAAAAAACAATTATCAAATACTTAATAGGAAAACTGCATAAAACCGATGCCCGCGGTGAACCGCGGGTTTAATCCTAGTTTGTTAAGTTAAATGTGAAGTTGATTAATAAGTTGACTAAAGTTGAAACTAAAATGATTTGGTCCAAAAATTGGAGATTTTGTGTTAATAGAAACGTTTTATTCCGGCCGGAGCTAGAAAATTGGGGATTTTATTGACTTTTTCCCTTAAATAGTTAATAAATGTGTAATGTGTGAATTACATTTGAGCAAATAAAAAAAAGTGTCTCGTTCCCAAACCAATATACACAAAATCAAGTGAAACCCTAATCGAGAACACACACCCAAAAAAAACCCTAATCCCATTTGATGGAGAGACAAATAAAGAAGGACATGGATTTGCTCACAGAGGATCTATGGGAGATTATACTTGCGAGATTACCACTAAAAAGCATCATCACCACTCCAAAATTGGTTTGCAAGGTATGGAAATCAATCATTGAGTCTCGGTGTTTCCGAGACCTTTTCCAATCTCTACACCAAAACTCTCAATCTTCTTCATGGTCACTCATGTGTAGAGGTTGTGAGACAGAGATCATGTCTCACTATGGATCAGACAATTGGAATCTTAAACATTCTCTCGGTTCTTACATTTCTTCTTTCCTAACTGAAAAATTCGAGAACTATAATGAAGCTAGAGTCGTGTCTTACACGGATGTTGGATTGATATTGATTCATCGAGTGTCGAATCAATCTTTCTACGTAGCTAATCCTGTTTCTAGGCAATGCGTTGAGATCCTTCCTCTAGCCTCACAAAAAGAAGAACGTTTTTGGATTTTGGGAATAGCCACAAGAGTTGAGAACGGTGTCGTTTTAGGTTACAAAGTTGTTCTGTTGAAACCTAACTTCACTTTCCTCATATACTCATCTGAGACAGGCTTGTGGAGTCTCAACAGTGCCAGTTTTCCTTTCACTTATATATCTCAGGAGTTTAACAATCCTATTAGCTTGAACGGAAGTCTTCACTGGCTAGCTCACGGTTCCGACTATCAAGATTTCGTTGTATCAATCGACTTCTACGCTATTGATAGCCGCTCTGATCGATGTCGTGCTACGCAATTTCCTGATTTAGATAAAGTTCCCAAATTCAGAAGAACTTGCACAACTTCTCAAGGATATCTCATGTATATGAATATATTCTCTTTACCAAAAGTTGATGGAAATTTAGAGGATAAGTTATGTGTATGGAGGCTAGAGAGCTGGCAGTGGCGACTAGTATCTGAAATCTCTTTGGATTCTATTAAGACCGGTGTCGATTATATTCCTTTGGGAATAAACCCTTTTGATGCTAAAACAGTCTACCTTTGGAGTCGCAAATGTTTGTTATCTATTAATTTACACAATGGAGACTTTGTGCTCCACAAGGATATGGAACGTAGCAGCGAGGGTCGCATTCTGAATTCCGTTGACTGCCCGAGAGATACGAAATACATCTTAGAATCAAATTTTGCCTCGTTCGTTCTCCCACAGTGGATGCATCCGTTCCCGAGCATGGTGAGGAGAGTTTGATTTAGATGTAATATTTGTAAGACTTTATTTATTCTTTATTTTTGCTAATTACTGTTAGTTCCTAATGCAAGAGAAAGAAGTTGTAGGATGATGCTTAGCTTTCTTTTGAGTGTTTTTTGTTATGTCGTTTTGTAGATTAATTCTTTGGTAGGCTTCTTCTAACTTGTAAAGCTTTTGTTTGTGGAGTAATCTTAAAACTCGACCATTTGTAATCAACAAATCACACTTTTAATCAACCAGAAATCAACTAATTAATTTATCCTTGTCTCACGGACCAAGTATACTTGTGTGTTCTGCCACAATGGCTGCATCGGATCCCTGTGGGAAGAGTTTCTTAAACATTTTTATTTCCGTTAGTTCCTTATATGCAAATTTGGCTTCTATTTTGTGGAGTCTACTCTTTTTTTAAAGAGAGAGTATGAATTTCTTCGAAGAAGTCTCTCACCTTTACATACCGAAGTGGAAGCTCTTCTCTGGGCGATGAAGTGTATGATTGGAGCCGACAACCAAGATGTAGCTTTTTATACAGACTGTTCAGATCTGGTGAAGATGGTGTCTTCCCCAACTGAATGACCGGCTTTTTCAGCATATTTGGAAGAAATCAAGAGCGATAAGGAGAAATTTTCAAGCTTCTCTTTATCTTTAATTTCTCGTAGTGCAAATGTCAAAGCGGATAATTTGGCACGAAAAGTTCGTACCGAACCGCATCATATCACTTATGTAAACAACATTCCAATTTTTTTTTTGAATACTAGGAGGTTCTGGGCCAAAACCCGAAATTCCCCCAGGCCCGAAACCACATAATGTAATATTAGTTTCGTCTCAAGCGTCAGTCGAACCGGAGGTTCGCCTAGGATATTTACCACTTGAGCTAACGACACTTGGTAAAAAAAAAAAAGTTATTTAAGAATGAGAACTGAAAATGTGTTGATTTTTTGTTTAATGGAATTGATTATTTAATGAACGTCATGGACAATTTACCCTCTGGATCTTAGATGAAGCAAACCAAGAATTAGGAAACAAAATCTATACCCGACCCGATTAATTTGTCTTGACGACCCAAGAACCCGATTCGTTCTATAAAAGAGTAAACCCTAATCCTAACACAAACAAGCACTAAAAAAAAACCTAATCTCGTTGAACAGAGAGATAGGAAGCTATGAATTCCTTTCCAGAGGATCTATTAGCAATTATACTCGCCAAATTACCAATAAAGATTTTCACAACTTTCAAACTTGTTTGCAAGCAATGGGAATCAATAGTGGATTCTCCATATTTCCGTGACTTGTTTCGGTCTATGCACCAAAACTCACATACTTCATCATCATGGTCGATCATGTCTGGGAAAGATGGAGAAGAAGTCGTAGCTCAGTACGGATGCAACACTTGGGGACTCGAACAATCTCTAGGCTCTTACATCTCTTCTTTCCTAACCAAGATGTTTGAGACTGAAAAAAACAAATACATTGTATGGGCTTACAACGACGTTGGATTGATTTTGATCAGTGAACTCCCTATCTGGGTGACGAACCGATCATTGTACGTGGCTAATCCAGTTTCACAGGAATGCGTAGAGATCCCGTCTCATGCTCATCTCAAGGAAGTCTCCTGTCCCTTGGGAATTGCCACACGAACTGAGAATGGCATTCTTTTGGATTACAGAGTTGTTCTGTTTGACGAGGACTTGAGATTGCTGATATATTCATCACATACAGGCTTGTGGAGTCTCAACACTGTGGATTCTTATCCTTCAGCTTTGTATACACAATCTCCCATTAGCTTGCACGGGAGTATTCATTGGATCGCCAGCACTAGTCACAGTGTAGATGTTGTTGTATCCATCGATTTATACGCCACTGGTACAAGCTCTGTTCAATGCCGTGTGACTTCTTTCCCTGATTTCGGACAACATCCCAAATTCAATAGATCTTTCTCAACTTGTCAAGGATCTCTCATGTATATGAACATAATCAAAGTTGATGGAACTCTAGAGGATAAGCTATGTGTATGGAGGCTAAATAGCGGAGAATGGCAACTTGTATCTGAAATCACCCCTCCTTTTATTGATACCGGTTTCGAGTACATTCAGTTGGGAACGAACCCTTTTGATGCCAAAACAGTCTACTTTTGGAACATGAACCACCAAACTTTGCTTTCTATTAACTTACACAATGGAAAGTTTGTGTTTGAGACCAAGTTGCTTTCTAGCATCAACCCAGGATTATTTTTTCACTCGGTCGTTCTCCCACAATGGCTGTATCGAATTCCCAACACGATGAGGATGGTTTAGACATTATATCTGCTTTAATTCACTTGTTTCTTTAAGTATGTATTTTATTTTTTATAACTCTTAGTTCTTTACGCAAGAGTAAGGAGTTTGGTTTATTTCCAGTACTTTTGGTTTTTTCTCAATAAGAGAGAAGAATTATGTGTCAACAACTTTGAAGTTTTTCTCTACAGTTAAGTTTCTAATTTTGTTCAGAAAGGTACAAATCAGATATCACGATTCCTTGTTAACTTACAAAAGTAACCATACATCAACCAAATCTCAAGTGTTATAAGATTTATCAAAGCCCTTGAGAATATGATTGCAAGACAAGGTCATTGTTCTCAAGAAGCTGTAGTAATATTTCGCCTACATCAATCTCTGTGAGGCCCATAATATCTATCTAAAACTTACCAGCAAAGTTCTTAAAATTATGTAACAAAAATGTTTGAATGTTGACGGTTGCAAATAACAGAACAATGTTTTCTAATTCTTGCTAGTGAAAAACAGAACATGTAATATTCTAATCACGAATTTTTCCTATCTCTATCTTCCCATTATTAAAGATGTTATTACAAACTCTGATTGATCAAACAATAATTTTAATTGAAATACATGTAGTTAAGAGAATCATACAAACAAATGGTAGGGCTACTACTTACGAATACAAAGCAGAGCATTATAACAAACAAAAACAGATCACAATAAGATCTAGTTCTCATGTTATATGTAATCTGATGAAGTTGCATCAAGAATTTCATCGCTGCAACAAAACTTTACGCCGTCCTTCATAATATATAATCTATCTCCATATTTCCTTTTAAAATAAATAGGACGCAGACAAATATTCCCAAAATCTCAGAATTTTAGAAGACACCAAAAACTCACATACTTCATCATCATGGTCGCTCATGTCTAGGAATGATGGAGAAGAAGTCATAGCTAACTACGGATGCAACACTTGGGGACTCAAACGATCTCTAGGCTCTTACATCAAGAGAAACGAATTCAGAGTCTGTGCTTACACGGACTTTGAGTTGATTTTGATCAGTGAAGTCTCTGTCTGGGTGAAGAACCGATCCTTGTACGTGGCTAATCCAGTTTCATAGGAATGCGTAGAGATCCTTCCTCAGCAGAAAGAAGATTCCTGGCCCTTGGGAATTGCCACACGAACTGAGAATGGTGTTCTTTTGGATTAGAAAGTTGTTCTGTTTAACTGTAATGGGTGCAACACAAGAGATAGATATAGAAGCCTTGCTAATATATTCATCTGAGACTGGCGTGTGGACTGTGGAGTCTCCACACTGTCGATCTTTCTTCCTCAGGTTATCATACAAAATCTCCCATTAGCTTGTGCGGGATTATTCATTGGTTCGCCAGCAACAGTCACAGTGACGAAGTTGTTGCATATATCCATCGATTGATGATACGCAACTGGCACTAGCTCTGTTCAATGCCGTGTTACTTCTTTCCCTGATTTCGGAAAACATTGCAGATTCGATAGATCTTTCTCAACTTGTCAAGGATCTCTCATGTATATGAATATAATCAAAGTTGATGGAAGTCTAGAGGATAAGCTATTTGTATGGAGGCTAAAGAGCGGGGAATGGCAACTAGTCTCTGAAATTACCCCTCCTTTTATTTATACCTGCTTTCGAGATTGGGAATAAACCCTTTTGATGCTAAAACAGTCTACTTTTGGAGTAAGCACCAACGTCTGCTTTCTATTAACTTACACAATGGAAAGTTTGTGCACCAGAGTAGCAGCGAACCAGGATCATTTTTTCGCTCGGTCGTTCTTCCCCAATGGCGGCATCGAATTCCCAAAACAGTGAGAATAGTTTAGACGCAATATGTGCATGACTTCACTGGTTTTTAAGTTTTTTTTTTTTTTTTAATTATTACTCTTAGTTCCTTACGCCATATCAAGGAGTTGTAGGATGGTGTTTGGTTTATTTCCAGTATTCTGGTTTGCTCTAAATAAGAGAGAAAATGGGAAGAAAATTGTTACAGCGTTTTGTAGGTTTGATACACTTTTTCTCGATTGAAAGTCTGACACAATGTCAGCAGTAGATTCAGCGGACTCCATTCTCATATCACAGAAGTAAAGAAAATACATATATAGAAAAATAACATAGCAAAGTTGTAAACCTTGAAACCTTTAGAGACATGTATCTTTGCTCACTCGTTGGTACTTGCATGCAAAAGAAAACAAAATGACACAATCAATTTTACAAGTTCGGGTTCTTTTGGCCACGAACCAAGTATAGGAGTATTATGTAAATAATGCTTAGTTAGAATACTAAATGTAATTTTGTATAATTAGCTAAACCCTAATCTTCTCTAGACTCTGTATAAATATGTGTAATCCTCATTCTCTCATTAATAAGATTAATACAATCCTTATATGGTATCAGAGCAAACGCTCCTAAACCTAAAACCTTCAAAAAAAATTTTCTTTTCAGCCGCCGTCGACACCATGTCGTCTTCCAACACACACGATGTCACCATCCCTCTCAACTCAAACGCCATTGTTCACATCAACATGGCTAACATTTCTAAACTCACCGCTGACACTTATTTCACCTGGAAACTTCAGGTCCATGCCCTTCTTGATGGGTATGACCTCGTCAAGCATCTTGATGAGTCTGTAGAAGTCCCACCAGCCACTGTTACGGTTGAAACCACCACTTCACCCAACCCAAATTTTGCAAAATGGCGACGTCAGGACAAGCTCATCTACAGCGCTCTCATTGGGACTATCTCCCCTCCGCTTCAAAAACTTGTGGCACCACCACTGCCGCCGAAATCTGGACAAAGCTAGCCTCCACATATGCCAATCCGTCTCGTGGTCATCTTCTTATTCTGCGGGATCAACTCAAGGTGATGAAGAAGGGAACCAATTCGATTGACGAATACATTCAAGCTATCACTGCTCGCCTTGACCAACTCGCTCTCCTTGGCAGCCCTATGGAGCACGAGGATCAAATCGAGGTCATTCTCAATGGGCTTCCCGAGGAATATCAGCCTGCCGTTCATCAAATCCAAGGCAAAGACAAAACTCCTCAGATCACGGAAGTCCATGAAAGGCTTCTTAATCATAAAGCCCGACTCCTCACCAAGCAAGTTGCGGCAACATCCACATTTCCAGTCTCCGCCAACAATGTCCAACAGCGCACCGGCTACAACAACAACCGCAACAACTCCGGCAAACGGAACAACACCAACAACAACTCATGGCAGCCATCACAGTACCAAAACAAACCCGACACCCGTACTTCCAAACCCTACTTAGGCAAGTGTCAATTGTGTAATACACAGGGACACAGTGCTCGCCGCTGCCCGCAACTCAATGCTCTCCAAGCATCTGCCGGTGCCCCTCCGAGCTCCCCTTTTCGTCCGTGGCAGCCACGCGCGAATCTTGCGATGGGTTCCACGTATCCGGCAGCTCCTTGGCTTCTTGACTCAGGTGCGACACATCACCTAACTTCTGACCTCAATAACCTCGCGCTTCATCAACCTTACAATGGCGGTGATGATGTTCTCATCGCTGACGGCTCTACCATGTCCATTTCACACACGGGTTCTTCACTTCTACCAAATCAAACTCGTGCTTTACTGCTTGATAAAATTCTATGTGTTCCTGATATACAAAAAAATCTAATCTCGGTATATCGTCTATGTAACACTAATCGTGTGTCTGTTGAATTTTTCCCTGCCTCCTTTCAGGTGAAGGATCTCAGCACGGGGGTCCCATTACTCCAAGGCAGGACTAAGAACGAGCTGTATGAATGGCCGGTGACATCTTCAAAACCGATGGTAATGGTGTCTTCTTCCGGTCCAAAAGCTACTCTCACATCTTGGCATTCAAGATTGGGACATCCCTCTTCGTCTATTTTGAATTCAATTATTTCCAAGTTTTCGCTTTCAGTTTTATCTTCTTCACAAAAACATTTATCTTGCTCCGATTGTCTTATTAATAAAAGCCACAAGCAACCTTTTTCTCAAACCTCTATTGTTTCCACAAGACCACTTGAATACCTTTTTACCGATGTTTGGACATCACCAATTCTTTCTATCGATAACCACAAATACTATCTTGTTTTTGTTGATCATTTCACCCGTTATACATGGCTTTATCCACTTAAACGCAAATCGGATGTCAAAGAAATTTTTCCAGCTTTTAAAGCTCTTGTTGAAAATCGTTTTCAAAATAAACTTGGAACATTGTTTTCGGATAACGGAGGGGAATTTGTTGCTCTACGCGGATTTCTTGCAACGCATGGTGTCTCACATCTCACATCGCCACCACATACGCCAGAACATAATGGGATTGCCGAACGCAAGCATCGACACATAGTGGAGACCGGTCTCACTTTAATGTCAACTGCTTCAATTCCAAAGAAGTATTGGTGCTATGCCTTTGCCACTGCTGTCTACTTGTTGAATCGCATGCCAACCCCAGTTCTCTCTATGGCATCTCCATTTGAAAAACTGTTTGGGCAGTCACCAAATTATACGAAGCTGCGAATCTTTGGTTGTTTATGCTTCCCGTGGTTGAGACCATACACGACACACAAGCTTGACGATCGCTCGCAACGTTGTGTCTTCCTTGGCTACTCTACCTCTCAGAGTGCGTATTATTGCTTACATGAGCCGACGGGACGAGTTTATGTCTCTCGTCATGTTTAGTTTGAGGAGTCGATATTTCCTTTTGCCACTAAGCCGAATCCAATGATTGAGGAGGAAACGCAGGCCGGCACCTCAAGCTTGTCATCTCCTTTATCGCACTCTCTCTCCGGGCTAGACCGTCTCTCGCCGGAATTACCATCACCGGTATCGTCGCCGGCGGTTGTGGCACCGGTGGCTGCAGCTCCGTTGACTACCGATGCTCCTCACTCTCGCAGTGTTGAAGAAGAAGAAGTTGGTTCTGGTGGGCCTACAAATCACTTCAATTTAAATGAGACAGGCTCAACAACATTTCATAAGGAGGCCCATCAACAAATAACACCATTAAGCCCGTCCATCACTCATCAACACCACGATCTGTCGTCTTCTTCCTCCGGTTCCGCTGACAACAGCTCCTCTTCACAGTCCTCGCCGTCCTCATCGAGTTCAACGGGACCCCCACGCTCCGATCTTCACCCGCCGTCACCGCCGAACTCCACTACGCAGGTATTGTCTCCTAATTCTATTTCCTCCTCTTCTTCTACCAATTCTGAGCCCACTGCTCAAAATCAAAATGAGTCGCAAACCTCGACTCAGAAAAACCGACTTCCACACGAGCCCACTGCTCACCGCCAAAATGAGCTGCGACCTACAGCTCAGACTCAACCACAAACACATTCCCAAACATCACACCAAGCTACGTCTATTCAACCACAGAACCAAAATTTAGCACCACCACAAAATAACCATAAAATGCAAACTAGAGCCAAAAACAATATCAGAAAACCCAAACAGAAACAAAGCCTGACAGTTACAGCTCATCCACAACCCGTAAAGGAGCCTACAACGATACAACAAGCCTTAAAAGACGAGAAATGGAGTCGGGCATGTTCCAGTGAGTTTGATGCTCTAGCACTTAATCGGACATGGGATTTAGTTCCTTCACGAACAGGACAGAATATTGTTGGCTGCCGATGGGTCTTCACCACCAAATTCCTTGCAAACGGACTACTAGATCGATACAAGGCAAGACTCGTTGCCAAAGGATTTCATCAACAATATGGGAAAGACTATGCGGAAACCTTTAGTCCGGTTATCAAATCGACGACGATTCGTCTCGTTCTTGAAGTAGCAGTTACAAAGAATTGGCCAATCAAGCAATTGGATGTCAACAATGCATTCTTACAAGGCGAGCTTACCGAAGAAGTCTATATGTCGCAACCACCGGGATTTGTTGATAAGGATCGTCCTTCATATGTTTGTCGCTTGAGGAAGCCTATTTACGGACTGAAACAGGCTCCCAGGGCGTGGTATATGGCTCTTAAACAGTTTCTTCTCACAACAGGTTTCACGAATTCCTTAGCCGATACCTCGCTATTCATTCTCAGCACCGCCAACACAATCACATACGTCCTCGTGTATGTGGATGATATCATTGTGACAGGTAACAATAATCGTGTGGTTTCCCAAGTCTTAGCATCTTTTGCAGAACGCTTCTCCATCAAAGACCCAACGGATCTCCATTACTTTCTTGGTATAGAAGTCACGCGTTCTGCTAAAGGGCTTCACTTGATGCAACGCAAGTATGTTACTGATTTACTTAACCGCCAC